AAAAAAAAAAAAAAAAAAAAAAAAGATTTTCAAGAAATAATTATTAGAGATGGAGTGGATCCTCTTTATATAATGACATAAGTTTAAACTTACCCCAAAGTTAATAATAATTTAAAATATATATGTACCTAATAAAATAGCCCTAATATATAATACTGAAAAAGTAATAAAATAACAGGGAGAAAATGCACCACAGAGGAAGTTTTCAACTCATCTCCCTTAATTACTTAGATAACTGCCACAAAAATTTGGCAAGACTACAGAAGATCTGAACACGACAAATAAGCCTGATCTGATCATTAAAGAGTTCTGTATTCAACAATTAGAGAAAACATATTTCTCTTGTACTATGCCATTAAAAGATACCCTTAATAATACTGCTTTTCAGTCTTTAAGATCAAGCGAACAAAAACCTTAGTAGGCAAGTTGTGGTGGCTCATGCCTGTAATACTAGCACTTCGGGAGGCTGCGTTGGGCAGGTCAGTTGAGGCCAGGAGTTTGAGACCAGCCTGGCCAACATGGTGAAATCCTGTCTCTACTAAAAATAAAGAATTTATTGGGTGTGATGGCAGGTGCCTGTCATCCCAGCTACTTGGGAGACGGAGAAATAATTGCTTGAACCTGAGAGGTGGAGTTTGCAGTGAGATCATGCCACTGCACTCCATCCTGGGCAACAGAGCAAGACTCTGTCTCAAAAATAAATAATTAATTAATTAATTAAATAAACAATAAACTTTAAAGAATAATATTATAAAAATCATAATATCTACGTATTACATATTTAAGTCAGAAGTTAACAAAAAGTTAACATAGAAATCCCCTACATTTTTAAATATTAAAACACATGCTAAATTACTCACAGGTTATAAAAGAAATAATAATGGAAAATTTAAAACAAACTGAATCATAATGAAAAAAGTAACTCAGTAAAAATAGAGTGGTAGGCCAGGCACAGAGGCTCACATCTGTAAACCCAGCACTCTGGGAGCCAAGGCAGGCAGATCACTTGAGGTGATGAATTCAAGACCAGGCTGGCCAACATGATGAAACCCCATCTCTACTGAAAACACAAAAAAAGTTAGCTTTGTGTGGTGGTGAGTGCCTGTGGTCCCAGCTACTCAGGAAGCTGAGGCAGAAGAATCGCTTGAACCCAGGAGGTGGAGGTTGCAGTGAGCTGAGATTGCGCCACCGCCATCAGCCTGGGCAACAGAGCCAGACTCCATCTCAAATGAAAAAACAAAAAAAAAAATAGAGTGGTACTTTAAGGAAAACTTACCACCCTAATAATTATATTAGAGAAGAGAAAAGTCTCAAAATTAGCTAAGTATCCAGCTTAAGATGTGTGAAAAAGAAGAGTATATTATCCCAAACAAAATAGAAGAAATCACAGAAATTTGAGAGAAAGCCAACAACAACAACAATAAAAACAAAACAAAAATACATTGCTGATCTTCTGATCAATAAAGCCAAAAGTCGGTTCTCTGAAAAACATAACAAAATAAGACAAACCTCAGGCAAGACTGATCAGAAGAACAAAAATACAAATAAAACAATGGTGGCATTTCAGATCAGTGAGGAAAAAGAAAAACTAATCAATAAAAAATGACTAATATTCCAGCAAAACTGGTAATAAAAAAGAAAAAAATGGACTGGGTATGGTGGCTTACGCCTGTAATCCCAGCACTTTGGGAGGCCAAGGTGGGTGGGTGGATCACCTGAGGTCAAGAGTTCAAGACCAGTCTGGCCAACATGGTGAAACCCCATCTCTACTAAAAGTACAAAAATTAGCCAGGCACCTGTAATCCCAGCTACTCAGGAGGCTGAGACAGGAGAATAGGTTGAACCCATGAGGCGGAGATTGCAGTGAGCCAAGATCACGCCATTGCACTCAGTCTGGGTGACAAGAGTGAGACCCCCATCTCAAAAAAAGAAAAAGATGAAACTGGATCCCTACCTCACACCATATACAAAAAAAAAAAAAAAAAAACCATCAATTTCAAGTAGACTTAAGATTTAAATCTCATAGTCACCAAAACAGCGTGGTACTGGTATAAAATTAGGCACACAGACCAATAGAACAGAATAGAGCGCCCAGAAATAAAGCCAAATACTTAGAGCCAATGATCTTCGACAAAGCAAATAAAAACATAACATGGGGAAAAAAACACCCTTCAACAAACTGGGGTAATTGGCAAGCCACATGTAGAGGAATGAAACTGGATTCTAATTTCTCACCTTATACAAAAATCAACTCAAGATGAATTGGTGTACTTAAACCTAAGATCTGAAACCATAAAAATTCTAGAACATCAGAAAAACCCTTCTGACACTGGCTTAGGCTAAGACTTCATGACCAAGAACCCAAAAGCAAACACAATAAAAACAAAGACAAGTAGATAGAAATTAAACTATTAGCAAAAAGCTTCTGCACAGCAAAAGAAACAATCATTAGAATAAACAGACAATGCACAGAGTGGGAGAAAATCTTCACAATCTATACATCTGACAAATGACTAACACTCAGAATCTACAAGGAACTCAAACAAAGCAGCAAGAAAAAAAATCCCATCAAAAAGTGGGCTAAGGACATGAATAGACAATTCTCAAAAGAAAGCCAACAAACATGAAAAATGCTCATCATCACTAATAATCAGGGAAATGCAAATCAAAACCACAAGCCAATATTGCCTTACTCTAGCAAGAATCGTCATAATCAAAAAATCAAAAAATAATAGATGTTGGCAGGGACATTGTGAAAAGGGAACACTTTTACACTGCTGTTAGTAATGTAACCTAGTAAAACCAGTGGAAAACAGTGTGGAGATTCCTTAAAGAACTAAAAGTAGAACTACCATTTAATACAGCAATCCCACCACTGGGTATCTATTCAGAGGAAAAGAAGACATTACACAAAAAGATACTTACTCACATGTTTATAGCAGCACAATTCACAATTGCAAAAATATGGAACCAGCCCAAATGCCCATCAATCAATGAGAAGATAAAGAAATTGTGATGTATATATACACATACACCATGGAATACTATTCAGCCATAAAAAGGAACGAAATAATGGCATTAGCAACAACCTGGATGGAACTGGAGATCACTATTCTAAGTGAAGTAACTCAGGAATGGAAAAACCAAACATTGTATGTTGTTACTTATAAGTGGGAGCTAAACTATGAGGGTGCAAAGGCATAAGAATAATACAATGGACTTTGGGGACTCAGGGGAAAGGGTGAGGGGGGATGAAGGATAAAAGACTACAAATGGGTACAGTGTATACTGATAAGGTGATGGGTGTAGCAAAATCTCAGACATCACCACTAAAGAGTTATTCATGTAACCAAACACCACCTGTTCCCTCTAAAACTTAAGGAAATAAATAGCAATAATAATAATAAAGATTTAAATGTCAAAAACCAAACTTTAAAACATTTAGTAGAAAATATAGGTGAATAATTTTAGAACTCAGCATAGGAAAAGCTTTTTTTTAGATTTTTAAGATATAAAAAGCATTGTCAAAAAGAAAGGATTAGTATAAATATGACTATTCTATAATTAAGGATTTTTATTTACTTTAAGATACCTTAAAGTAAGCGAAAAGACATGATACATACCAGGAGCAGATATTCACAACATACATAATCAACAAAGAATTAATATGAAGAATACATAAAGAACTTCTATAAATAAAAGAAGCTTATAAAGAACCCAGCAGTAAAATGACTAAGAAGAAACATATGTTACTAAATAAACACATGAAGAGTATTTTAACATCACTGGTGAGCAGAGAAACGTAAGCTAAAACCACAATGAGATCATCTTACACTCATTTGAATGGGTTGACCCATAAGATCTCTTATACTTAGGATGAGTACAATCTGATATAACCACTTTGGAAATCAGTTTGGCACTACAACCTGAAGATGTGTGAAGTATTTCATATGCTATAAGGCAGCATTTTCATTCCTTGAGTCATATTTAAAAAAAAAAATCTTACATATCTACAACACTGTACAAGAATATTTATAACACCCTGTTCACAATGGTAAAACTTAGAAACCTAAACAACAATGGAAACAATAAACTATTAGCATGTTCACAAAATATTATACAACAGTCAAAACAAATAATCTAGACTCCAGATTTAAGAACAACAATATGGATAAATGGCAGCAACATACTAACCAAAAAAAGATAAATTCTGAAAGATTATATACAGAATGACATCATTTTGGTAAGGTCTAAAAAAACTAAAACTTTTATATAGCTCTTTAGGAATTCATTTACATAAATCTATACACAAAGGAAAGAAAAATTTTGTTGAGTACAACGATCAAAACGATAATTACCTTGGGTTTGGAGAGAGAAGATGAGGTAGTAGAGTTAGCTTAAATGTAGGCTGACTTAAATATAACTTAAATTGTGGGCTCACAGATGCTTACTATATTATTTTAAATAACTAATTAACTAATTAAATAACTAAATGAAAGCAAGCTATGTGAGGACCCATAACTAAGAGTAAATCACAAAATCACAGATAATGATTAATCCAACTTAGTGCACCTAAGGTCCTTTAAAAACACTCGATGCTGGCCAGGCATGGTGGCTCATGTCTGTAAACCCAGCACTTTGGGAGGCCAAGGTCGGCAGACTACCTGAGGCCAGGAGTTCAAGACGGCATTGACCAACATGGTGAAACCCTGTCTCTGCTAAAAATACAAAAATTAGTTGGATGTGGTGGCACACACCTGTAATCCCAGCTACTTGGAAGGCTGAGGCAGAAGAATCACTTGAACCCTGGAGGCAGAGCTTGCAGTCAGTCTACATCACGCTACTGCACTCCAGTCTAGACAGCAGAGTGAGTAAGACTCTGTCTTGGAAAAAAAAAAAACAACAACACTCAATGTTTAAAGGATGTTATTTCCAAATATACAAAATTTAGGGTCCAATGTTGCCAAATCACATAGACAATAAAAGAAGCATCAACAAACTCATTACTACATTTTTTCAGTTTATTTTTGACACTAAGAGCACAGTTGAATCAATATACTTACTTATATGATTCCAAGAACTAATTAAATGTTTTTGGTGTCTCTTCTAATAAAGTTTTTAAAAAGCCCAAACATCTTAAAATATGTATGGTCTAATTTATTATACAATCATTTATAATACATAGTACTATTAATTACACTTTTAAAATTTAACATAAAGTTCTTTAATGTAAAGAACTTATACTGCTGTACGTAATGGAGATACAAGGCTAGACTGAATCACCAATATGATCAGATCAACTTACTTTTGCTATAAGCTGAAGAACTTTCCTTTCGACTCAGCTTAAGATAAAGTCTGGTTTTTGGTTCATTATAAAACTCAGGATTTACAGTAGTAAACTTCTTTAGTTTGCCATACTGTTTTCTCTGAAAATCAAATCCTTTTCTGAAAAAGAAATAAAAAATAAAAATGAAATGTAATATTAAGGTACAAATTTTTTTTAAATCTTTAAAATATAGTATGAAAAGAACCAGGGTTTTATATGTTTACCTACTTTCATACATGTATATAAAATATAAATATATTTTATCAAAGTAAGAAAATAACAACCCTCACAGAGCTGTCATCAGTTTTAAAAAGAGACCAAGATAGAAAAGTATCTAAAAGAGGGTAGGGGCTAGGGGAGAGATAGCATTAAGAAAAATACCTAACGTAGATGACAGGTTGATGGGTGCAGCAAACCACCAGGGCACGTGTACACCTATGTAACAAACCTGCACGTTTTGTACATGTAACCCCAGAAAATAAAGTATAATAATAAAAAAAAGAATAAGCCCCAGTTCCTACAATTGATCCTGTAGCAACATCTGCCTTGCATTGATGTTTATAAAAAAAATAAAATAAAAAACTAAGAACACCTCATGTGCTTTTTAAAATTTTTTAATTTAAATATTTTTATTGGTATATAACAGTTACACATATTTTGGGAGTACATGTGATATCCTGATACCTTTATACATTGTGTAATAAATCAAATCAGGGTAACTGGGATAGTTCATCACTTCAGACATTGATCTTTTCTTTGTGTGAGGAACATTACAATTCTTCTCTTCTGGTTATTCTGACATATATACAATAAATTACTGTTAACTATAATTTCCCTACTGTACTCTCAAATACTAGAGTTAATTCCTCCTATTTTTTTTTTTTTCTACACTTTAACCAACCTCTCTTCATTTCCTATCCCCTTTCTTCCCAGCCTCTGGTAACCACCATTCTACTCTCTCACTTCCATGAGATCTGCTTTTTTAGCTCCACACATGAGTGAGAATGTGCAGTGGTTATCATTTTATACCTGGATTCATTCTCTCTCTCTCTCTCCCTTCCTCCCTCCTGCCCTCCCTCCCTCTCTCTCTTCCTTCCTTCCTTCTTTCCTTCCTTCCTGCCTGCCTGCCTGCCTGCTTGCCTGCCTGCCTGCCTGCCTGCCTTGACAGGGCTGGCTCTGTTGCTGGTGGCATGATCTTGGCTCATTGCAACTTCATCTCCTGGGCTCAAGCCTTCCTCCCATTTCAGCCTCCCATGTAGCTGGGACTATAGGTGCACACCACGACACCTGGCTAATTTTGTATTTTTTCTAGAGACAAAGTTTCATAGAGAAAAGCTTTCATCATGTTACCCAGGCTGGTCTTGAACTCCTGTGCTCAAGTGATTGGCCCTCCTCAGCCTCTTAAAGTTGTGGGATTACAGGTATGAGACTGTGCCTGGCCTTTGACTTATTTCACTTAACGTAATGACTTCCAGTTGCTGAGGATGACAGGATTTCATTCTTTTTACTGCTGAATAAGATCCCATTTTGTTAGAGAGAGAGAGAGAGAGAGAGAGAGAGTGTGTGTGTGTGTGTGTGTGTGTGTGTGTGTGTGTTTATATACCACATTTTCTTTATCCATTCATCCATTGATGGATACTTAGGTTGATTCCATATCTTGGCTATTATGACTACTGCTGAAATAAACATGAAAGTTCAGGTATCTCTTTGATATGCTGATTTCCTTTCTTTTGGATGCATACCCAAGAATGGGATTGCTAGATCATATGATAGTTCTAGTTTTATTTTTTTGAGGAACCTTATTTTCTAAACTATAAAATGGGAATAATAACTTATTCCCGTATCTCCATATCTCACAGGTTACTGTAATGATTATATAAAATAATTCATGTGATGATACTGCTACCAAAACAGTGATATAAACCAATGGAACAGAAGAGAGGCCTCGAAAGTAATGCCACACATCTACAACCATTTGATCTGTGACAAACTGGACAAAAACAAGCAATGGGGAAAGGATTCCCTATTTAATAAATGGTCTTGGGAAAACTGGCTAGCCATGTGCAGAAAGCAGAAACTGGACCCCTTCCTGACACCTTATACAAAAATTAACTCCAGATGGATTAAAGATTTAAACATAAGACTAACACCATAAAAACTCTAGAAGAAAATCTAGACAATACCATTTAGGAAATAGGCATAGGCAAGGACTTCATGACTAAAACACCAAAAGCAATGGCAACAAAAGCCAAAATAGACAAATGGGATCTAATTAAACTTAAGAACTTCTGCACAGCAAAACAACCATTAGAGTGAACCGGCAACCAACAGAATGGAAAAAAATTTTTGCAATCTACCCATCTGACAAAGGGCTAATATCCAGAATCTACACAGAACTAAAACAAACATATAAGAAAAAAAAACACCCCCATCAAAAAGTGGGCAAAAGGTATGAACAGACAATTTTCAAAAAAAGACATTTATGTGGCCAACAAACATACAAAAAGATGCTCATTATCACTGGTCATTAGAGAAATGCAAATCAAAACCACAATAAGATACCATCTCACACCAGTAGAATGGCGATCATTAAAAAATCTGGAGACAACAGATGCTAGAGAGGAGGTGGAGAAAGAGGAGCACTTTGACACTGTTGGTGGGAGTGTAAACTAGTTCAACCATTGTGGAAGACAGTGTGGTGATTCCTCAAGGATCTAGAAATAGAAATACCATTTGACTCAGCAATCCCATTACTGGCTATACACCCAAAGGATTATAAATCATTCTACTATAAAGACACATGCACGTGTATGTTCACTGCGGCACTGTTTACAATAGCAAAGACTTGGAAACAATCCAAATGCCCATCAAAGATAGACTAGATTAAAAAAATGTGGCACATATATACTGTGGAATATTAGGCAGCCACAAAAAAAGGATGAGTTCATGTCCTTTGCAGGGACTTGGATGAATCTGGAAACCATCATTTTCAGCAAACTAACACAAGAACAGAAAACCAAACACTGCATGTTCTCATTCATGAGTATTGAACAATGAGAACACATGGACACAGGGAGGGGAACATCACACACTGGGGTCTGTTGGGGGGTAAGGGGACTAGGGGAGGGATAGCAGGGGGTAGGGAGATTGGGGAGGGATAACATTAGGAGAAATATTTAATGTAGGTGATGTGGGGATAGAGTCAGCAAACCACCATGGCATGTGTATACACATGTAACGATCCTGCAGGATCTGCACATGTAGCCCAGAACTTAAAGTAAAATAAATTTTAAAAATGTTTTAATAAATAAAATATAATAATAATTCATGTGAAGTGCTTAGTTAGAAGAGGGACTGGAATATATAAGCTCCCAATAAAAATATTACTATTAAATCACCATGATGCAAATGGTCATTATATTTATTTTTAATAATCTAAACTTTTACAAAAGGCATACTTCCAAAAAGTAGCATTCTATTATCCTATAAGCTATATAGTTTAGGCATGCAAATGATCACTTATTTATTATGCCACACTGCTAAAAATTATTTCTAAGGTTTGTCAGATAGGATTTCCCTTAGGATTGTGGAAAATAGCCCCAACTACACATAAAATAAGTTAGAAAAATAGCATCCTGCTAGTTAGCCTAATATTGCTCACACTGTTTGATGGTTAGAGGGAGCCAAAATAACTTTAAAGACTTATTCCCTGGCTGAGCATGGTAGCATGTCTGTAATTCCAGCCCTTTGGGAGGCTGAGATGGGAGGGGGATCAATTGAGTCCAGGAGTTTGAAACCAGCCTGGGCAAGACAGCAAGACCCCCATCTCTACAAAAATTTTAAATTAGCTTGGCATGGTGGCATGTGCCTGAAGTCCTAACTACTCAGGAGGCCGGGGCGGGTGGAGACCTTGGGCCCAGGAGTTCAAGGCTGAAGTGAGCTAAGGATCACACCACTGCACTCCAGCCTGGGCAACAGAGCGAGACTTTGTTGCTATATAAAAAAGACTTATTCCCATTTTGCAAGTTTAGAAACTGAGGTATTCTATCTTTTAAAGTTTTCCTATCTTAATCTCTTTTAAAACTGATGATAATTCTGTGAAGGCTATCATTCTCCTATAAAATCACACGTAATTATTTCATACTATAAAACGTACCTCACCAAAAGCTGGCATTCCTCATAGAGTGGTATCTTTTGACTTCTTAAGTACAAGCCAATACTCTTAATGTCACTTAAAACCATGCCAGGTCGAGCTCCTTCCTGTGTGATATTTAATCCTGGAGTCATGTCCTCAAGCCATTTAAAGAATTTACAGCTATCAGCTTTGGGTCCATCACATGTATAAAAGAGACGACCCTAAGGTGAAAGAAAAAAAGATCAAAATTTAGTGAAGAAAATGCTTTTATTTTTCTATTGTTCTTGCATTTGTCAAGGCTTCTATGAAGACTGCTTGACATTATTGTACTCTAGTAAATTAGTCAATATACAACTTAGCCTTATTATTAGCTTAAAATTTAAAACCACCTACTTTTTCATTTACTTTCTCTTTATGAAAAGATTACAATATTCTGAGAATAAAAGCTTATTTGAAAATGTGTTTCTCTGAGTTAAAGTGTCCACTGTAAGCAACCTGAATACTGTCTAGAAATACTGAATATCTTATGCATTTCTTTCTATTCTTTTTTCTCATTCACATTAAGTGCACACACCACAACCCAACAAGAACAAACACATGTAATTTGCTTTTTTTTAAAACAAAACTCAGATGATACATTTTCTACTCTGTAACCTAGCCCTTGTACCCAACAACATAGTATGAGCAGGCAACTATGTTATCAAATAATCTTAAAAAGAAAGCAAAGACTTTTAGTGGCTATATTATATTTGAGTCCACAGTTATACCATTATTTATGAATTTTTGCTTTTGACACCTAAATTTAAATCCAAATTTACACACTTAGCTAACAATGAAGTGGGATATGCAAATAGTGAAAGGAAACCGTATTATGAATGGAAGCACAGTTCAACAATGAGTCAAGCCATCAATCAATGTACATTTCATTAATCTGACTTACTCCATAATATATTATTAAAAATATAAATTAAGTCAGCATATTTTTCTATTCCTCTGGCCTTATCTGTTACGTGTATTAGGGACTAAATAGTAGACTAGCTTCAATATTCATTTCTTTCAGGCTATTTCTGAATTCCCTAAGCTCTCAGGTTGGAACATACTCCCCTTCTCAGTGACCTCACTGTAACTTGGGCATATTCCTCCTATTTTATCAACTACAAAAGTATATAAAATTTTCAGCTGAGCACGGTGGCTTATGCCTGTAATCCTAGCACTCTGGGAGGCCAAGGCAGGAGGATCGCTTGAGCCCAGAAGTTCAAGGCTCCAGTGAGCTGTGATCATGTCACTGCACTCCAGCCTGGATGACATAGTGAGACCCTGTCTCTAAGAAAATAATAAGAATAAGAATAAAATAAAAATACTACACAAAAAGTTCCTAAGCAACTTGAAGGTTAATCTTAACTCATATTTTAGAGTACAGATAATTCTTTCAATAAAACTTTAAGCATTTACTGCATGTTAGGTACTGACACCTCAAATAGAATGCTCTTAATCAAGATTCAGTCTTTAAGCTTATCATGAAGTAATAAGTATCTAAAGCCTTTATAAAACAAGTATTGGTATGGTAGGGGGAGGGGAAGCAAAAATACCTTATTTGGACCTTCCTTTTTAACCATGACAAGTTTTGCAGGTTGACTATGATGACAGAATGGTACATTATTTTCTACATTTTTCAGGTTCTCTCCCTTCAACGATGTGTAAAATGATATGTCAACTTTTGAGAGAGCTTTGTGCAAGTTTTGTGCTAATCCAAACAGCAATATATTTAGATGTTCTACAAAAAAAAAAGAGAGAGATAGATACAGAAGAAAATTAAATACAAAATAATTTTGTTTGCATCACATATATACTGTTTGTAGCTAAACTTGATAGCCTGTTAACAGAGTCATACATAATATAAATATTCATTTTTTAAAAGGTATTTTCTGCTAAATTTAACAGGTCATTTGTAACAGCTCTAGTTAAAAAGAAAAAAATAAAAACTAATTTTAAAAAGATAATACTGGGCAGGCGCAGTGGCTCATGCCCGTAATTCCAGCACTTTGGGGAGGTCAAGGCAGACGGATCATGAGGTCAGGAGACGGACACCATCCTGGCTAACACAGTGAAACCCTGTCTCTACTAAAAATACAAAAAAAATTAGCCGGGTATGGTGGCACGCACCTGTAGTCCCAGCTACTCAAAAGACTAAGGAAAGGGCAGGGCACAGTGGCTCATGCCTGTAATCCCAGCACTTTGGGAGGCTAAGACGGGTGGATCACGAGGTCAAGAAATCGAAGCCATCCTAATCAACATGGTGAAACCCCGTCTCTACTAAAAATACAAAAAATTAGCTGGGCATGGTGACTCATGCCTGTAATCCCAGCTACTCAGGAGGCTGAGGCGGGAGAATCGCTTGAACCTGGGAGGCAGAGGTTGCAGTGAGCTGAGATCTCACCACTGCACTCCAGTCTGGGCGACAGAGCAAGACTTCATCTCAAGAAAAAGAAAAAGAAAAACATGATAATACTGGCCAATCATGGTGGCTCATGTCTGTAATCAAAGCACTTTGGGAAGCCAAGGTGAATGGATGACTTGAGCCCAGAAGTTTGAGACCAGCCTGAAATACATGGTGAGACCCCATTTCTACTAAAAATACAAAAATTAGCTTGGTGTGGTGGTGTGCACCTGTGGTTCCAACTACTTGTGGGAGGTGGGAGGATCACTTAAGCCTGGGAGGCAAGGTTGCAGTGAGCAAGACTGCTCCACTGCACTCTAGCCTGACAGAGTGAGATCCTGTCTCAAAAAAAAAAATAAAAAGAAAATTGTCATTTCCCACTTTCAAATCTCAGTTTTGATCTGAAATTAGAATAACAGTTATTGTCAAAAACTAGAATCAACATATGAAAAATAAATCGTGAATGAGGAATTTACTATAAAAATGCACAACATAACATATTACACTCTCACAATTCTATTACTTATATGAAACAGCAATCAGAATACTATAAAAATATAACAGTCATACCTATGAGGCAAGATGTGAAAGTCTGCTTATAATGAGCAGGCGACTGAAAAACAGCTGGTATGTGAATTTGCCTTTGGGGAAGATAAGCAGACTTTAATTTCTGCCCACTTGGAAAGCATAGCTCAGAGCCACTTATCTCCTGCAATGGAAAATTCAAGTTATGATAACAACTCCAGAAAAATACCATTTACTAATGAGTAAATTATTTTTCATAGACTTTTTTTTTTTTTTTTTTTTTTTGGGACGGAGTTTCGCTCTTGTTACCCAGGCTGGAGTGCAATGGCGCCATCTCGGCTCACCGCAACCTCCGCCTCCTGGGTTCAGGCAATTCTCCTGCCTCAGCCTCCTGAGCAGCTGGGATTACAGGCACGCGCCACCATGCCCAGCTAATTTTTTGTATTTTTAGTAGAGACGGGGTTTCACCATGTTGACCAGGATGGTCTCGATCTCTTGACCTCGTGATCCACCCGCCTCAGCCTCCCAAAGTGCTGGGATTACAGGCTTGAGCCACCGCGCCCGGCCCATAGACATATTTTTTAAAAATATTATTTTATTTTGATTTCTAGGATCCTTGAAAACTACTTTCAAATTTTAAATGAGAAACCAAATATAGCAAGAAAAGCTATTAATGGCACTTTTAACCCTAAATAAGAGCAACTTTTCTTATCTGCCCCTTAATAAGTTTTTATATCTTTTTTGCTAAGAAAAAGTTAACTGATGTGAATGGATCATTATGTATCTTTATTTCTGGTTATGACTATAATAAGGATTATTCACAACTAATGTGAAATAGGATAACACCTTTACCCTACTGATCACTTAATCAGCAAACACAATTGACAGTCAAAAGTAAAAACAATCATTAAATCAGTAAAAACAATCGTTTAATCATTAAAAACAATCAGTAGTAGTGACGAAAACAGAAATAGGAACTATCACTTATTAAGTATTGATTATGTGTCAGAAACTGCACCAGGTACTTTCAAATAAATCATTTTATTCCATGTTCATTAAGATTAGGAGAGATTTTAAGTAAAAGAAAGTGATGTAACTATAGCTCAGAGTTAGGATCAAGTAAAAGCCATCTGTCCAAATCGCTCTGATGCAGTATATTTTGGTAATTCTTTTACTGAAATTCAGACAATAACTTTTGGAAAAATGCATTACAAGGCTGGTACATTTCCTCACCTGTAAATCCTTTACACTGTCGTAGCAGGTAGGCCCTCCTAATACATTTTTAATTTCCTCTGTCTTAGAAGTCTGCTTTAAATTCAGAGAAAGTACTTTCTTTCTGGAAACCAAATCTTGACTGCTAAAATCCTGCTGCTGTTGACAGAGCATGCCTTTTATCATTTGCAAATGCACAGAGTCTAAAGAGCTTTCACTGATAGCATCGCTCTGTCTTTTACTTGTATCTCTAAAATGCATCCCAGAAATAGCCTCGGCAAAGAAGCCATCGGTCATTCTCTTATCAACTCTGTTTGGAGTAGTCACGTTGCATTGGGATGTGTTTTGATATTTCAGCCACTTGCTCTGAGTAGATATATTGGTGAGAAGTGAAACATCCCCTAGAGTCACTTCCCTAGATTCTCCACAGAAAGAGGTTTCATTATGATCCTCAGGCTCAACACTAAAAGAAAGAACTGCTGACTCTTCACACAAGTTGAGCTTGGGGGAACCAGAAGACTCATATGTGTTAGAGTTGATCATATATGAATGAGAGTCTAAGTCAGGTGGTCCATCAGTAGGTGGCAAAGTAATAAGTGGAACCTGGGTTCTACTTACTAATGAAAGCTTTTGAAGGTTCTCATTCTCCAGAGAACTGGATTTTTTCATTCCTGAAAGAAAACAGAATGTTGATTAAATAAAAATGTACTACTAGTCATCACCTAGGCTCTAGAAAACAGTGGGTATATAAAAGGAAAAATTAACAACTTGCTCTGAAAAAAAAAAAATGTGTATATTATTTCCTTAAAAAAAATTAATGGCTTTAATATCAAAAAATAAAGATTTCAAAGCTTAATTCATATATACTGAAACTTTTTTAGGGTTGATAAAGTACTCTTTTTCTTTTCCTCCTTAACTAAGAATTTTTTTTAATTACTAAATTGTATTTATATACCACTTACATTTTCAAAGCATTTTAAAGCAAATAACAACAAAAATGCATCATTCTCATTTTACAAATGAGCTTACAGAAGCTTAGAGGTAGCGGCCAGGCGCGGTGGCTCAAGCCTGTAATCCCAGCACTGTGGGAGGCCGAGGCGGGTGGATCACGAGGTCAAGAGATCGAGACCATCCTGGTCAACATGGTGAAACCCCGTCTCTACTAAAAATACAAAAAATTAGCTGGGCATGGTGGCGCGTGCCTGTAATCCCAGCTACTCAGGAGGCTGAGGCAGGAGAATTGCCTGAACCCAGGAGGCGGAGGTTGCGGTGAGCCGAGATTGCGCCATTGCACTCCAGCCTG